AAGACCCTCTGGTCTAAGCAAACAAGTACAATAATTTCTATACCTCTGTGGGTAAAATTATTGCTGAAAAGGCACAGACCTTGACCGAAAAACTTAGCTTTACTGCTTTTGACAACAACAACCAGAGCAATGAAGATGTGAGCGAATGTAGCAATCATCAAGAGTTCTATTTTAGACCTGTTACAGAGCAAGAGACCTTGAAGATAGTTGAGGCTCTCCCGTCGAACAAGGCTCCTGCAGCTGACAAAGTGACTGCCCGGATCCTAAAAGCTAGCCTTCCTGTTACGCCGCCACTACTTACAAATTTAATCGACTGTTCCTTTCGTTCCGGTGTTTTTGCAGAATCGTGGAAATTGGCAAAAATGGTACCTTGTATCAAAGATAAAGAGGGCGATAGAGATGATCCATCAAACTCTCGTCCTATTTCGCTCTTACCAATAATATATATCGAAGGTCTGTAAGAGAGCTGCACACTTACAACTCGTGCGATTCCTACAAGATCACTCCATCATACGTTCCCTCCAAAGTGGCAAAAGAAAATCCCACTCTACCGAGACTGCACTACTTCATTTCGCTGATGAACTCCTAAAGAACATGGATGAAAAGCGCGTATCAGTTGTGGTACTGCTTGATAGGACTAAGGCGTTTGATAGCATACGTCACGATATACTTCTGGCAAAGCTTCGTAGAATTGGAATATCGTCATCTGCAATCGCCTGGTTCAGCAGTTACTTATCAGGCCGTAAACAAGTAGTGAGATTGGAAATACTGTCTCAGCGAAATTGGAGCTTTGCTTTGGAGTACCCCAGGGATCCATTTTGGGTCCTGTGTTATTCACCATGTACGTTAACGATCTGTTATCTATTCCTAATCACTGCCAATCAATGGGACACGTAGATGATACTAAGCCCCTTCATGCCCTACCACCAAACCAAATTTCTGATGCAGTTTTTATGCTGAATGACGACCTCAGGGAAATAACCAAATGGTGCTGCAGAAACTATTATTACTCAACCCGTACAAGACTAAACTTATGGTGATTGGAATACCTCAACTCACAAAGACTCTACCGACCCTATCTGTTACTCTTATGGGTAAGAACATTGAACCTGTCACCACGGCAAAAGACCTCGGAATCTGCATCGACAATAGTTTGAATTATAATTACCATCCCAAGAAGATTTCTTCAAGCTGTATTTATAAGTTAATTATGATTAATCGCATAGAATACCTGCTTGATAAGAAAACCACCCTACTGCTAATTCACTCTTTTGTTTTTAATGAGCTATTTTACTGCTCTTCAGTATGGAGTAATACCTCAAAGAAAAACATTGAAAAGTTGTAACTTCTTCAAAACTTCGTAGCAAGAATCGTCCTTGGCTTGAAGAAATATGATCGTATCTCCGAGGGTCTAAAATCATTAGGATGGCTTGACATTAACCATAAACTCAAGTTTAATGACCGTGTCATGATGTACAAATGCCTCAACGCAGATGCTCCTAGGTATCTATCGCAGAGGCTCAAGAAGCGCTCACAGATCCACAACCGAACCATAAGGAGCCATAATGACCTGGACTTGATCAAATGTCGCCTTGCCACAGGGCGACGATCTTTCAGTTTCGGGGAGGCAAGGCGTGGAACCTAAATCTCGATAGCACTCCAGAAGCCATGCTCCCCTAATCAATAACGAAGAAACAGGTTTTACCCCGCCTTTTTTTACTCAGAATTTTTTCTTTTGACCTCCACTCGTAATAAGACTTAATAAAAAACCTTTTTTTGGCTCATGGATGACGTAGTCATTCCATGAGGTGTAGGGGCAGTCGGACGGCCTCAGTTATAATCGCACTCATTTACTTGATTCTCGTTTTAAAATTTATTCATTAAAACTAGATGAAACATTCAACTTCAACCACCTCAGCTAAGTAGTAGTTTTGTACCAATATGTCCGACAATTATTAGAGGAACGAGAAAAGCGTGAATTGTGTGTAAACGGCACAAAGATGGTTTGTTTGAATTCCCTTGCGGAGTTGAACACTGCGACGATGCTCAAAACGACACTGTAAAAGCTTCGATGGTTTAAAGTGACAATATCAATCGATCTTGGACGATTCGTTCAAAAAATTTTGCCCAATAGCGTAGAAGCTGCACGAAGATGGTTTTTGGCAGGCTCAATCTCCCTGTGGGATTGAAAGTTGGAAGCACGCACTAACAGCGGGAATGGCCTTTAATGTCACAAAAACCCGATCTTACGTACGGACAGATCATTTCCCGATTGCTACTCATAGTTAACGTGTAACTCATGTCTTAGCCTTTGCTCTTTACAAAATTTTTATCTGCCTCGGCTATAGTACGGTCCAAAACGAGTGCACCGCACAAAGAAGACAAAATCCCTCCTCTATTTTATTCCTGAGTCTTCATTTTGTTGTCCTTTTTTTAAAATTCCCTAACGTTCCAAATAACTATCAATACGCCGAATACTGACCTACTCCCATTCTTTTTTTTGTCGTTATTGCCTCCTATAGAGGGCGAAGCCACATATGTCGTCGAGATGAGTGAGTGGGTGAGTGAGTAGGTGTAAATATGTGGGATGCGGAAGGTTTTGTGTCTTACATTTGAGACAATGTTCTGCAGCACTACCTTCTAGAACCTTCTAGCTTCATTAAACAACCTGCTGTGCTTTCCAGAGCTCTAAATAATGTGCAATATCAGTAACCCATGCAGCTTTTTACTGTCCATTTTTTCATTCAAGTGCCTTTTCTTTTGCTAATCCAATTCACCCACGAGCCACCTCACGGGTGACTTCGATTTCGTTGTCTTTTGTACGTGTTTCTGTGTGTCCGTTGTTTTTGTTGTTGTTCACGGCACGCTGATCAGTAAGCCTCAACTTCGTGCCCTCGATCCAGTTTTCTTGGTTTACGTCCGAACACTTGGACGGAACCTGAGCGCGTGCATTTTCGAGTGGATGATATCACAGCGAATTGTCACGTCATATTGTCATATTCGACTTTGCTAGACGAAGATCGTTTGTTAATGCAGTTTTGCAAATCGGTTCATCAGTTACAAATCGGTGCTCTTTTAGACTTCTGCAACCGGAAATCAAAGCTTGTCAGGTAAGGAAACTAACGGAAAATTTGGCGGTGCAAGAATGAAAAAGAAAAAAACATTTTCTGAATCCTGATCTTTTAAATAAGCAAACCATGTTGCAAGACTTTGAACTTGGCGTTAGGGAGCGTAAGCACAAATGTTTTTGAGATGTATACTGCAGCCGTAAATTAAAAGTTCTCATTCCTGGTGCTCACCACACCTTTTTGTTCAGCGGAATTTGGTTTAAAATGGTAAAACGACGACTGCGGTATCGATACATTGGTGTCAAAGTCGTCAGAATTTGTTTTACTCTTCTTTCGGTCGACGTCCACGTCTCAAAGTCGTCTCTACTTAAATTCTCTAATAATGATATTTTGCACTTGATACGCATTCATACTTCGGGGTTAAGTTAAGATTTTGAGACGTTTGTTTACTCAAAGTTTTCGCTAGTAGGTGCGTAGCTAGCCTTTCGACACTTTGTAGGCCTGTTTCCAAAGGAAATATAAATTTTCTGTCAACCTTAGAAGAGTACAAAAGTCAAGCGGGCGCAGAAAAAAATTGTAGGCCCGGGCCTATGGGCTATGGTCCTGTAGGCTGACTACGCCCCCAGCTTTCTTTTTCTTCGCAGACTATACGTTTCGGAGTGTCAATTTACAGCCAGATGTTGTGAATGATAAATATATCTTATTAACCAAGCGCGAGGGCCGTACTGGGAGAATATCGGCCCGAGGTCTTGACAGTACGGACTGAGCGCAGCGAGGTCCGTACAAAAAAGACCGAGGGCCGATATTCTTCCAGTACGGTCCCGAGCAAGCTTGGTTAATAAGAGATTTATTATACGACTGAAGTTCAAAGGGACACAAGTGCGGTATCATTCGGGACCATTCGGGACAGTGCCCGGTCCAATACTT